AATAATAGATTATGTAAGCGTATCTCTGCTAGTTAAGAAGCTATAAGCCAAAACGTAAAAAAGCATACCCTACCCATCCGCCAGCCTAGTGAAGTATATAGCTAACAATCACCTCCTCTTCTCTCTAGGTAAGCTTCCTTGAGTTAGGCTGGCAATCACGTCGCGCGCGCTTTCCAGCGCGCCAGTCAATTAGGGTTGATTTTAGGATATTAAAGACTGTAGCAGCGCGTTGTGTACTCTAAATTTAGGCAGAATCTATAGATAAGAGAGCAAGCTAAATATCTGCTTTATTTAACTGCATGAGCAGAGCGCAGCGTGGAGGCATTGTGTGTTAAGATAGAGTAGGTGATCAAAGTTGGTGGGGTGACCGACTCGCTTGTCTGACCGACTCGCTTGCCAACCATGTTAGATTTAAAGTGTCTACTATCTTAAAAGCTTGTAGCCTAGATAGGTGTAACCCTATTTATAGCTATTAGGAAGTCCTTTATTATTATATTTAATTATAATAATTTAGCAACTTTGTACATCTCTGCTTCTGTAGCTACCTAGTTATACTTAGCTAGCTAGGTATCCTATTATAACGTGCTTCTTATTAGCTTAAGTGCTAAGAGGTATCTATCTTAGGCTTATTCTTATTTAATTTATTTATTAACCCTAATAGTAAGTTGTAGGTCTGTAATCTACTATTATAGTAGTTTCTTAGGAAGACAGCATGTGCGTAGTAGATATAGTAATATAGTTAACTAGATAAATATAATAATGTGCTAAAGGCTTACTTCCTTCTTCTTATATTTATGTTAATTATTCTTATATTATTTAAGGAGTACTTTATAGTACTTAAGGTCTTCCTTAAATGCCTTCTAGCCTATTGTTAATAGCTTAGTTAGCCTTAATAGTATATTAGTGTTCACAGCTAGCATGTAGTTAGTAATAGTTAGAGCCCTTAGCAAGAGTGGCTTTAATAGTAGTGGTGTAGTTGTCTTTAGGTTAATCTTGTCCTAGATATTGCGCGACAGGCATCTCGCATGTAGCTGCGCGAGCCAGCCAGTCCAGTCGGCTTGGTCCCTAAGGACTGTTGTTGGGTCGCAGTACGTTGGTTGCGCCATTTCGGTTGCGGCAGTGAGGTTGCGGCAGTGAGACTCTTAATTGTCAGATTCTCGCACTGTGAGCCAGAGTATGTGCTTAACGAGATCTAGGTGGTATGATGATTTATTGATGATCGTCGCGATGGTGTCGCTGCGGTGTCGTGCTCGTTGCTACAGGATTGAAGTGGGGGGGGAATTAGCGCTGTTCGCGGCCGCCGGTGTGCGGGCCAATCAGGAGTTGCCAGGTCTCGCTTAATCGACCTGGCAACTGCTGATTGGCTGCACGACAGGTCCCTGCTCGATTGCGCAGATCCGACCTCTCTCTTATCTGACACCTCGCTTGTCTAGCTTTAGAACATGCTGCACAATCACCTCCTCTTTAGTGCTTATTAGCTTTATTAAGTTAACCTTATAATTATGTCTTAAGAGCATTCTAGCACGTTATTGTCTTAGTATTCTTTCTAACACCTTATAGATTGTTACATTGTGTAGAATAGTAAGAGTTGTGTCTTGTTTAAGAGCCTAGATTATAAGCTATATATCTAGTTCCTTTAAGACGCTTTAAGCCTTTTTGCGTTGAGACATCGCGGGTTGTATGAAGTTTGGTGTGGTCTTGGCAAAATCCGGTCACTCGCCCGGGCCGGCCACTCGCCCGTGAGGTACGTTATATCTACTACCTTACATAGCTAGGGCGTAAATCCTTGTAAATTAAGGTTAAGTATATACTAGACAATTGTCTGCTCCTCTAGTATAGTAAGTTTCTAGTAATTAGTGTGTATGTCTAGTTAAAACGTGATATTGCAAAGGTAATTAGAGACCTGCTAATAAGGTATGTTTAACGTACTCCACGGGTGAGTCGTTCATACGGGTGAGTCGTTCATACTGCCAAGACCACACCAACATTCCACTTCACAACACAATGCCTTAACAACAACACAAATCTAAGCCCTTTAAAGAAGCTGCAATACAGCTTGCGCTTTAGGCAGTTAAACAAGACGCGACGCTCACTCTGCGACGCGCTGCAGCTATATATAACGCGCCTTACAACACGCTACGCGATCGATACGCAGGACGCACTGCACAAGCCAATTGCACGCCAAAATCACGGAATATGGATCAGACTAAGGAGGATGTGATTGCTGAGTACATACTTGAGCTGGATGCTAGAGGATTTGCCCCTTAATTAGCTGCTGTAGCTGATATGGCTAATTCTTTGCGCGCTAAGCGTAATATGGCCTATGTTAGTATAAACTAGCCTAATACGTTCGTTAAGCGCCGCCCTAACCTCTAAGTCAAGTTTAATTGCAAGTATAACTACAAGAGAGCCCTGTGTAAGGACCCTAAGGTTATTAGGGGCTAGTTCTGCCTAGTAGAGAATACTAAAGCTAAGTATAGCATCTAGGATAATAACACGTACAACTTTAATAAGACAGGCTTCATAATAGGCTAGATATTAACAGGAGCAGTTGTTACAGGCTCAGAGCGTCGCAGACGGCCAAAGGCAGTGCAGCAGGGCAACTAGGAGTGGACAACAGTCATACAGGGCATTAATAGCACAGGATAGGCCATTCCGCCCTTCATCATCTTTAAAGGCTGCAACTACCTCTCTGCCTAGTACAAAGAGGACAATCTGCCCTACAACTAGGTTATTAGAGTCTCTAAGAATAGATAGACTACTAACTAGCTTAGTCTTAACTAGTTAAAGCACTTTAATGCCTATATAAAGACACGCACCTAAGGAGTGTACTAGCTGCTCCTTATTAATAGCTATAAGAGCTACAACTCCCTAGACTTCTAATAATACTGTAAGGAAGCAAATATTATCACACTATGTATGCCTCTACACTTATCACACCTCTTGCAGCCACTAGATATAGGTTGTTTTACCCCTTTAAAGAAGGCGTATAGGCGCTAAGCTAAGGATCTTATGCGCAACAGAATCACGCATATTACTAAAACTAAGTTCCTGCTATGCTTTATAGGCGCCTACAAGGAGTTATTTACTCCTAGCAATATCTAAGGAGGCTTCTAAGGCGCTAGACTAGTTCCCTTTAAGCTAGAACAGGTTATAATAGGTCTTAATGTCTGCCTACATACCCTACTATTACCTACTGTAGAAGATGCTCCCTAGCAGTCCTAAACCCCTAGCAATACCCTGCAAATAGGGTCGCAATTAACACTAATTTAAGAGAGGATTTAAAGGCATATAAGCAGCTTACTAACTTTAATAGTTAAGGCCTTTAAAAAGCTTGCTAAAGGCGCAGCTATAGTAGCGCACAAGCTAGTGTTAGCTTAAAAGGAAATCACTAGGCTTTAAGCAGCAAATAAGGCCTCTACGCAACGTAAATTGCATAAAAGAAAGCAGTTACAGCAGGAAGGGGTCCTAACAGCTAAGGAAGGCCTTTAATTAACTACTCTAACTAAGTTTAGGGCGCGTAGTGATAGTAAGAAGGCAGGGAAGCAAGCGCATGTTAAAGGAGGTGAGGCAACCTAAAGACGCTATAAATAGTATTATAAGGTAGGGCATAACTTGCGCATGTGTAAAAAGCCTATAGAAGCTATTGCTAAATAATATTACATGCTGTACCAGTGTATACAAGGCCAAAGTAGGCCAATGCGAGCCATAATAGGGTGGAGGTTTGGTGTGGTCTTGGCAGTATGAACGACTCACCTGTATGAACGACTCACCCGTGGAGTACGTTAACACTCTAGCAGTGCTGCAGATACTATAAAATTAGCTAGCATAGAAGGCCTAGATAGTAAGGATAACTCTACCTTCTCTAGTAGTATTCTAAAGTTGTTGTTGTTAAGGTATATTATGTTAGGGTAAAAGGTAGTTGTGCTAAGAGAAAGTGGCTAGTTTAGTGATATGGCTGGCTTGGTGATAATCTACGTTATTAAACAGGTGTTTCTCTATAGATTTGGTATGAGAAGGTCTCTTACATCGTTCATAATTAAGAAGTTATACTACTTCAAAGATTACTAAAACAGGGCTGTTTTGGTGAGGAAATCGGTGCATCACGCGCACGAACACGGTAAAAGTTGCGACGGTTGCTGCGGACTTGTGCCCGGGCTCTGTGCCCTTTCAAGCAATGGCGTCGATATTCGAGAACGTTCAAACATATCTTGTCCTAGCTACGGCAAGGCTTACCATGAGACATCTGCCACTCAGCGAGTTTGTATCCTACCCAAGACCTGGATACTTGAGTTTGAGTCGCTCATTTCAGTCGTCACGGATCACTCCACTTCCACCAGTAAACATCGAGACTGTCTACTAGCATTTAAGACTCCCCAGGCAAGGACCGCGGCCTGGAATGCTACCGCTGTCCTCCCGAATCGCCCCATCAGCGCCAGTGGTACATCGCAGGGCCCCGACGATCCGCTCGCATCCACAAAAGGGACGACCTCAAGCTCCTCCGGAATCCCTAGATCCGCCTTCCACCGGGGGATTATCAGCAAGCGAGAGTTCTGAGAAACGGGTTCTGTTGAGCGGCATGGTTGAGGTCACAGCAAGTCACAGTTCGCATCTGCCGGCCAACAATACGTCCTCTTCACCCACGCAGCATTACCCTTTAACGGCTTTACAGACGTCGGAATGAGACAAGTCCCGATCTCGTGCCCCTGGACATCCCTCTTGATCGCAAGCAATGGACCATTGAATCCGCCACATACCTACGACCGCAATCATCCTGATCAGCAAGAGATAACCGCAATTCTTGCAAAATTTAGCAAAGATCCTCTGAGCGTCATATCACTTGGGAAAGACGGTGTTCTGCGAACTCTGTCGGCAGATCGTGCGGTCCTTGATGCAGTAGGTTTGAGCCCGCGGCTTGTGAAAGCATTCTTGGACCGCGTTCCACCACACTACCGCGCGTTTGAGCCGGGGCTTGAGGATGCTGGTGGATCTAAAGCATCGTATGAGGAACGTGCGCGAACTCGGCATCTTCGCAGAGCGCGGTTTCGAGCTCTGCGGGGGACTTCTCAGGGTGCAAAGTCACGGCCCGTTGGTATGCGGCGTAGTACCTAAAGATATTCTTGCATTGGTACAAGATGTGCGCGTCACCTGGGTAGGTTAGTCCTGCTTCGGTATATACCGTGGCGACGTACGGTCGCTTCGCATGGCCTCGTGTTCCATGCCGAAGACTGGGGATTGTTGGATGCGCTAGAGACGTTGGGTGTTGACGTACCGTGTCCGAGCTGGTGGGTATAGGTTGAGGTGGAGAAGGTGGGGGGAGATGACTTACCTCGTGGTTCCAGGTTCGTGTCCCAGGTAGATAGCAGTAGTAGAAATGGCGCCTGTGAGGCGGAGAGTTATCGTGGGCCTTTTCCCAAGCTGGGCTGTGCCTGGTGGTTGGCCCGGCCGGGTACCTATCCAAGAGCGTTGGCCTAGAGAGTAAAAGCATCTTGCACGGCGCAGTAATGCGTCTCCTTCACCAATGCGTCGGCGAAGCAGTATTTGACCACCCGAAGCCGCCGTCCGTTCCTACTGACAAGTGGCCATGGCCGCTTCAGGGCAAATTGCATTCCCAGAGGGCTGGCCGCACGTTTGTACTTGCCAGCGGCGAGATGATCGTGCACCATATCCGTGCCCGACGGCAGAAAGCAGTGGGCGAGGATGAGGGGAAGGACAGCCAATAGCCAAATATGGAAAAGTAAGAAGCGCATTCTTTGCTTCCGGGAAGCGGGAGAAGAAAGAGGAATGCAGGGTTCTGGGGTTTCCGGCGGGGAGAGTTTTATATGTAGCGCCTGGGGTAAGATCGAGGTGAAGGCGTCTTCCTGAGCGACACACCCGTACTTGCGACAGAGCCGACGCTCTGGCACCCGCGAGGCTGAATGGACGATGATTCTGAGTCGCTACATATACTCGACCGAGATTCCCCTCCACGCCGAGTATAGCGGTGGCAGTATGCTTTATTCTCATAATGATGTTCAGAGATCACTGCCGCAGCAGGTGATGTACAGTTCCGACTGATTCTCCGCTCAACTGGTTTGAAAGAGTGGGAGGTCTGCTGTAGGCCATTGACGCAGGTCGGTTTCCCCTTCACCTCGACTCTCGGTATAGGACATAAGTCTCCAGACTGAACAACTCTTTTCTTCTGAACAACTCTTTTCTTCTGAACAACTCTTTTCTTCTGAACAACTCTTTTCTTCTGAACAACTCTTTTCTTCTAAATAACTCTTTTCTTCTGAACAACTCTTTTCTTCTGAACAACTCTTTTCTTCTAAACAACTCTTTTCTTCTGAACAACTCTTCTCTTCTGGACAACTCTTCTCTTCTGGACAACTCTTCTCTTCTGGACAACTCTTCTCTTCTGGACAACTCTTCTCTTC